TACCGTTCACGTCCCTTAGTACCGGCTTAAGCAGTATTCAACATTTTAACATGAACTGGTAAAATTCAGAATTTTGAAACATCCGCATATGTCTTCATATGGTGGTTATCATGGAACCTTCATTGTGACACGTTAGTACCATTCTATGAAAAGCGGCATATATCAATAAATTTATTATAACACAAATAACAGACTTTACTTGTAATAGATATACCATTGCTGCGTTGACGATTTCTGGGTTTGCGTAAATTATACCATACTCACGTGACCTTTCTTATGCCTTAACCTTACGAGACGAATCGTCAACACACCAATGGTGTATCTGTTTTAACTTATAGCTCCGTCCAGTAGCACTTACTCATTCGATCTTCAAAACTGAAAATTATACCATAGTCTGGGTATGGTATAATTTACGGTTATTGGAAATTATACTTGGAAGAACTTTACATAAGAAGCGCTGAAGAGCTATAGGTTAAGTTAACTATATCTAACTTTTAAACATCATAATTATGTATAATTATGTGCAATTACATTTTAAGCTTCCGGTTCCTTCTAGTAAAATGCAGTCTACATGATAAAGGACTGCTAAAAAAGGACCTTTCAATCCTCACAAGGAAATGATTGGAGATGCATTGGTACAAATGTTATGGAGGGCACTCTTATAACCTCGCAATTTGTAAAAGATTCCGTTAAACGCAACCAGATCACCTCGAGCAAACAGGACGTTTTGCCCCTAACCAAATCGGCCTTAACAAATGCTAGTCCCAAAAATGCGTAAAATCTTATTATAATGAGTATGAGTATATTAATTTGCTATCCAAAGGAAAATATAGTCATTTTTTGTAAAATGTTTGAGTATCATTAAAACATGGTCTGTGGAATGTTTTAATTTTTCAATTTTATTCTGATTGTACTATAATTACCAGGATTGGCCGGAGTGTAAGAACTAAGTGGCCCATCATCAAATTGTACGGAATCAATCCTGCGCGAAATTACCATTTGTTTAGGATACTATTTAATAGATGAAACCGCAATTTAAGAAGGAAATGTTGAAATTGAAGCGAAAATGGAAAAGTAAGCGCCCCTCAATCGGTGCTCATAATTTGCATTAAAGTTATATTCCTGGTCAAATTCATCAAAACAGATTGTCAAATTAACGCCTTATTGTTATCAAATGCATTATTTAACTAGTATTGACAAAGTTTTCCAACTTAGAAACGCTCTCCGTAACATTTCTGACCATTATAAAAATTGTATTTTCTTATTTGACTGGGTTAGTCAAATAAGATTTATATTTTTTCGGGAAGCCCTTCGATTATTTCCGTAAATGTTCGGATCTGAGTCACGTGACTTGATATATGAATATTTATCAAAACCAAAATAATGGCGGACAACACGAAAGGTGTGTCACGTATACGAGAAGGAAATTTTGAGATTGGAAAAGGAAAAGGCGAAAAGTGGAAAGAAACTGTGATTTAATTCAATCAAGGATATACTCCGATAGTGATTCAAAGCGATGAAAAGTTCTAAAAAGGGTAATTAAAGCAAAAAGCGACCGTGAAGTTGTTATCTGATTGACAGGTGAGGTGATCATCATTTTAGTTTACATTTAATTTTTTCTTGGTCTTAGATCTACTTATAAAAAAAATCACCTACGAAAATATAAACATAGATATTGTGTTATAGTTTTTAGGATTGTATTCACTTATGATAAAGAAATTAAGCTTACAGATCCACGTCTGTGTATCAAGTTTCGTTCACTATAATTTTCGTACCAATTAACTGTTAACAGGTTAAATAAAAGATCGGCTGAGCATAATCCTTTACAAATTTATGGCGTATGTTGTAACCATTGTAATATCGTTTAAGATGGCCAATCACTATCTTTTAAGAATTATTTAAGAAACAACATAATTATACTTTGAATAAATTTTATTTTCCAATCACATTATTGTTTTTTACTGTAAGCTGTACTGTAAGCTGTATTGTATAGTAAAGTTCTACAATGCTGTGAAATAGATTAGCCACATGTGTCTCAAATAAGGTTAGAACTATTGTCTTGCAGAACAGGCGGTACAGTTGAGTCATTCCGTACTCATTTGTCCCAACTCTATATCTAACTCTATATCTAAACCACACTTTTGTCCGTTTTTAACCTGCACTGTATATATTCCTCACTATTTTTACTCTTTCTTTCCTTCTTGCGCATTACCCTGGCAGTAAACTTTAGTAAGTTGAAGGTGGCCAGTATATTGGAAGAAGGAGAAGGCATTTCTTCAAAGCATGTTCAACTATCAAGGGCAGTCCTATAAATGTGACGTCCTTTGATTTTGAGATATTTGTGCTTTTGGGCAACCTTGACCGACATTTAAGCAATAACAAGCCCATAAGTCTGATATATTGATATACTATACAGGGTTGTCGAATCTTCAAAGAAATAAAGTAGAAAAAACAAAATGTCGCCTTTCCAGAATCGCACAAAAATCAATATTTTTGTCTCATTTGAATCATTTTCGCAGTAAGATATCAGCATTTCACGATTTGAAAAATAATCATGGACAGTAACCATTATTGTGCTGAAAACGTTAGATAATTCTTAATGACAACCCTTCTTCCTAATAAGCAGTGCAGCAATTCATGTATTGGAATTGGTATGAATAGTCAAGATTTTAGGCATGGTACTAGTATCCTTTATTTTCAATTACAGAAATAGATCAATTCATCATCATCATGTGTTGCAATACCAGGGACATCAAAGATTACCCTCGAGTTCAATTCATATGCAGAGGAGAGTAAAGTAACACCATTTTTGTCGGAAGTGACAGGTTATAATTTACCCAATACCTTTCAAAATTGCTATAACTATTACTTGCATAACTTATTATAATTCATAAAAAACTGATTAAGCTTAAATACTGCTGAATTCATGTTTTTTATTAGTTTATTGAACCAATTAATGGATATATACATGTGATCCATATATATCATGATCAGATATTCATATAATTTAAATATTAAACAATAATGACATTTTTAAGTGGCATATAATACTGTTTTAGAAGAAGAAAAAAAAAACATGCATTTCATGGTTAATTTTGGTCCAATTGAAAGATTTTGGTGTCATTTTAAATAATGAGTTTGATATTTAAATGACTCCATAGTATTATTATAGGTTATTGTTCACTGAGGTGAAAAAATAATAGAGGGTCATTATAGGTCTTAAATCCACTTGTGAAAAAATATATGTATGGTTTTTGGAAAGGATTCTGTTATGTAGTCAATTCTCAGACCGTACAACAAAATAGATACAGTTTCCTCAAAAGTTGAGTATACTTTCTCAGTTGCAATCAAACATCATGAATTACTAATTTCTAACTTGTTTTTTTTCAAAGCTATTACATTCTATATCAGATTGCTATGTTGGCATACAATTGCATTATTGAAATATTTTGAAGTGTATCAACATGAAACTTGAAAGACTTGCTTATCAGGACAAAGTGTAATTGTTAAACAGGGGAGCATACATGTTCTTATGAAAGCAATCATTGAATTTAGCACTGGCCCGGTGGCCCATGGCCAGTGAAAATGAGTTTGGGCCAGTGTAAAATTTTAAAAAAATGTAGTTAAATATAAAGTAGAATAAATTTAAAACTGGAATTGGGGCCAGTGAATTCAAAATTTAAACTCAATGACTAAGAAAGCAATATTTTCTTAAGTTATAACCATTTTAATCTAAGAATTTTTAACAGACTGGTGTTATCACTGCATGCAAAACTCCTGTATTTGTTGTTAATAACAAGGGCAGATTCATGTCCTATACTAAAACTTGGTGAAGATTGAATATATACAATTCTTATGTAGACTATTGTTTCGCTAAAATGAAAAGGAATTCTGTGGCCAGACGCCCTTTTCTAAGTCTGACCACTCGGGGAATTAGCTTTAAATCTTAACTTCACAATTGCTTTTGAAATTTATATAAACAACAAACTTTAATGTCCACATTCAGTTTATTTTATTCCATATGATTTGCTAAATCTTTTACACCAGTCCACTTTATTATTAATTAACTATTTATCTATTATAATATCAAATTAAATCCTTTTATTCACTTCTAATCTTTCTACTCAATGTTACTTTCTTTTTCTTATCCTAACCTTCTTAACCTAGACTTAAACCTCAACTCAACTGACCTAACTTTCGTCCCAAATCTGTATGTCCAAAATTCTATCCAAAACTAAAGTATCTGCCCCTTTTTGAATTTATCCAATCACAAATAAATTTTCTTATCTTTAATCTGTCTATCATAATTAATATAACATTATCACATGTGCATTTGACCAGCTTCTTAGTTTTTTACATCAAAGGATTTCACACCTAAGTGATATTGCTTTGAGAAGCTGAAGGAAGCAGATACCAAAACTAATTTCAGTCTATCCCCCTCAGCTTTCCAAAGAACCAAAATATGTTATAAGATCACATATTAGCATAATATTAGGTTGATCATAAACATAAAACAAAATATTGCCTGGCTACAATTCCACAATTGTTTTTTTCTAATTCTTAAGCAAGTTATTTTGTTTAATCGTCAGGTAGCACTAAAGAAAGCCAATAAAATACTTTTGGAGTGGAATTGAGACACAACAATTCATTTCTGATTTAGTTATAAAACTGCCACAAACTACAAACTATAAACTAGTCAGGGTAAGTAAACAGTTATTAAATATTTGATTTTGTTTGAATGTTTGATATTTTTATATGATTATTCTGTTGCTCAAGAATTTTTTAGATAAAATTCTAGATAGCAATACATAATTGTCATTAATTTTGTTGCAAAAAAAATTAATGCATGCAAGATGTTTTGATGCATAATGTGGAATACTTCATAGGTTTATGGTAAGCATTTTATATGTAAAATAAATGTGAAATGCTTAGTATGTTTCATAAAACTTGTTGAAGGCTGACTTCTTTGCCATTTTAATGCATGCTTATTTGTCTTGATGCAAGATGCACATAGTCTGAAAGATCTGGCTGGTGTTCTGAATAAGATGACATAATATCTCAACTGCAGGTATGTTCTCAATCAGGTACAATAAAAAGAAATTAATATTGGACAGGGTTCCCCCTGGATCAATTTTAGTTTGCACCACCAGATTGGCCAAACAAAAAAGTTCAAGCCAATGGCTCCAATGTTGGAGCCATTAATTCTGCAAGAGAGATATGTCTATCTTTGTTTAGATATGCTAGCAGTTTGGAGTTTTTTTAAAGGATCTATTTTCCTAACTGAAAAGTATATGTCCTGATTAATACAAAGCTCATATGTCTATTGATTATAGAATGTTCGATGTTTACAGCATCTTTATATATTAACGCAAATAGACCTACAACCATTATGTATAAAGTAATTCGCATCTTTTTTGCACTTACCAATTGAAGGATAGAGCTGTGTAAAATCTTTTCAAAGATAATTATTTACATACAGAGATTATATCTTACATATGAATATGTTAATGTTTAAAAGATTTTTACTTACTAAAATCTTTTAAATAATAATATCTTTTCCATTATTGTTATTCATTTTTAGAAGTACAGCTGGCATGGAGGGGTTTCACCAGCACATCTTGATGTATTGTAACAAAAGATTTGCTCATACACCACCTGTTTATAGGATGCACAATCTTCTTGCAGTCAAAGATTATAATATACATGCAAATAGACCACACATCACCAATAAGGGGGATCAGTTAGGTATGCTACTTACAAAACTCCAACATCTAATGTTTCACAATTTTACAAAATGAAAAAAAATAGTGTCCAGTTTGTGTTAATAAAATGAATTGCTTGGAACTGTAATAATGTTCAACATAAATGTACTCTGTACTCAGTATAATATGGGTGTAACATGTTTCTTTGTTTATTTCAATAGAAAGAATTCAGTTCTTCAAACATATAAAGAGGCAAAACCTAAATAAAATGTGTAATTGAAGTTGTGCATATAGATTCTCAACATTTTTTTTTCATTTTTGCATATGAATATAAATGCTGCATATCTTAGTATTAAATGTTCCTGCCTCTATGAAGTATAAGATATTTTTATTGAAAGTGTGATCACTATGCATATAGATTGCCTATACAATATCAATTTCAATCCAAATAGATTGTGCAGTCTCTGAATAACTTGACTTATAAATTTTCAGGACATAATAACATGTACTGCATTTTGAGAATTGTATACACTTATGGTTATATTTTAATTTCTCATTTCAGACTTCAGCGAGTCTGGATGAATTAAAGAAGAAGAAAAAGTATCATTATATGGATATCATTTTACATGATGCTATAACTCTGAGAATTAGTGGCAGGGAGGGGATATATAAAGTAGAAAGTTAGAGAAAGATGACACCCACAGACTTTCAAAACATTTGGCCCAAGTTAGCCCAAAGCCTACCCGAACCATTCATGAGAAACATAAATCAAGATATGATTGACTTTTTATGGAAAATAATGATAAATAGTGTGTTACACTAATTGCCCAACTATTCAAACATATTTAAGCTGACATTGAAAACCCGGTATTCATGATAGTTTTATGAATATCTTTTTAGATATGGCACTGTATCTATCTTGTTTTGAAAAATATTCTCTTGATTCATTTGTCATGACTCATGTCTGTTTATAGCATTTTGTCAAAAAAAATGACTATTTTTTATACAAGTGCAAAATATTATCCAATCTATAAACTATTAGTGCTGTCATGAGCTGGTGAGACCTGTGCATATCCCAAAGTAATTGGTACAGAAATAAAATATTAACGGCTATTTTCTTTTCCGAATCGAGCAATATTTGTCTTGGAAATGATGTCGAAAATGACGTCATAGTCACGTGGTATTGCTACACTGACTTTACAATATACCATATAGCCTCTATTTATAATCCGATTTTGGAAATTTAATGTTTATTTTGAAGATAAATACTTGTTAAATAAAAATAAATAATTTATTTTATTTCTTCAAGATACGGCCTATCTATCCGCAACGACAATTAAACAATTAACTCGACGAAATCCGCGGTACATTTACATTATTATATGTGTCACGGAATGCAAAAATGGGGTTTCTTGGCCAAATTTTTGATTTTCATATTTTTTAATTTTCTGAATATATGGAATATCAGAAGTAATTCCTGAAAATTTGAAGGTCGTGTCTTTCTTATTTACAAAGATATACATAATTTTGTGTGTATGGTGTCCAGTAAGTAATTGAAAATACACATAAAAATCTTTGATATTTGTGATGTTTAAAGGTGCATGAGGAAAATAACTTATAAAGCTTAAATGAATTTTCTGAAAAAATTACTTTATGTTGTTAAAGTTAATAAATGTTGTAGAATTTTTTTTGGAGTACAGCCACCATAATTAAAGCATCATTTATAGTATGTTGCCTAGCAACGGACCTATGCCTAGGTTCTTTTTGGCTTTTTTTGTGTAAAAAGTTATGTGCTAGGTTTTTTTTATAACACTTGCAACTATCTGTCAGAATAATCATACAGTTTCACTGTAGATAGTTTTTTTTTTACAACGAGTCAGCGATACACTCAAGTGTATCAGATTTCAATGTACAGTTTCATTTATAAACCTGTTGCTGGAAGTATAAAATATGTATACATGTTAAAAGGTCAAATCGTTTCAGCTAGCAAATATGCGCGTTTTGAGAGAGATTTTACATCAGTTAATAGAGACACGCTGATAGTGTGTAGCGGTTATATTTTTATTGAGAAGAGAATTTTGTTGTTTTGTAGGGAGTTTTGTTGGTTTGTTGAAGTGATTGAATATAATTGTGGTGATCTTAATTGATCAGGGCTTATTGGTTGTAATTAGTTGTTTTGGTTGTTGAGTTATATCTATTTGTGAAGATATAATTGGTTGATATTGGTTGAATGTTTGGTATTGTCAAGATTATATTAGTTGCTGCTTTGTTTTGAGGATATATTGGGGTTTTAGTTTGCTTTTCTGATGCTGATTAGATTTTGTGAAATTAATATTGTTGGATGAATGTTTGTGGTTTATACGGTATCTTAGAGTTGTAAAAATAGTCATTTCGGTGTACTTCATTTTGTGGTGATTTTATTGTTTTGTTTGATCGTAAGTCTTTTAGAGCTTGGGCTCGCCAGGTGTCTTGTTTCGTATAAAAGACGTAAACGTGAAAAGATATTTCATATAAGTGGCTGATAAATGATGTGTGTTTGTTTTGGGTGTAAATAATGAACAGAGTTCTTTGTTTTGGGTGTAAATAATAATTAGAGTTTGTTGTTTACATGTATATATTGATTTGAGATAGAAAAAGATAAAAATACCTAAAAAAAATAGTGTTAACTAAACAATTACATGCTAGTTTTCCAACTGGGAATATTTCACTTTTATGTCAGGCGGTGCTTCCCAGCCTACATATCTTGGAAATTGGTTCTAGTATTTATTACTAAATCTTTTCTTAGATTAAATAACATCAAGGCAGACATTTCTCCTGACAATTTGGGGGCTCGTCCGGGATATTCTCTTTAAGTTGGAATTTTTCCTGGCAAACTATTGTTTGTTAAACTTTGAAAAAAATAATTTGTTAAACCTTAAATCATTTACGATCTGTTGGTAAAATACTGCAGTGTAAAAGCTGTTAGGCGAAAATCGATAAACCTTCGTTGTAGTGTTATGCAAGTAAACTCTCTGTACAATAGAGTTTAAGTAGAGAGTTATGTGTATAGAAACGGTGACGGGCTGTGTTTAAAAGTTTATGTATACTGAAGAAGTTATTGCATTTTTGCAGGAGAGCACCCTTTGTTGAATACTGTTTATACGGTAATAGAATTAAGTGGTTTTTGGGAGGCATTTGTTTCGATAGTTTGAATCATTGTGTTAATAAGTTTATATCGATGATAAAGATATACTTATAATTTGTTGAGGTTATAAACATTAGTAGTTGATTAAAGTTTATAACCGGTGTTCAGTGGTTGATTATTCATAAAGTGTATGTAATAGTTGAAAAGATAGTTTTTTTGCTACCGGTGCTCAGTTGGTTGTTGTCATAAGTTTATATAGTTGTTAAACACTACATGAAGATTATTATCGGTTTCCTGGGTTGTTACTGTTGATACAAGTTCATTGCGGTGCCCGGTAGGTGCCATTGTTATATAGAGATTAGATTTGAATAACGATTGTCGGTGCTACAGAGGTACACCATTTTGTTGAGTAATAAGTATTTATTTAACGGGTTTTGTAAAAGTTGATTATTTTATTGAATAGTAATCCATTGTTAAGCAAGTATGGATTATGATAAATGGGTATCATTGGGAGAGAGACCTGGGTTGAAGGACGGGGAGTTACGTGATTATGTTCAAAAGAAAGAATCAGAATATCTTGATAGAGAAGAGAGAAATATTAGACGTGAAGAAGATAAACGGCGATTTGATGCCGAGCGTAAAGCAAAAGAAGCTGAACGTGAGGAAGAGCGACGGCGATTTGAGGCAGAGCGTTTAGAAAAAGAAGCTGAACGTGGGGAAGAGCGACGGCGTTTCGAGGCCGAGCGTCTAGAAAAAGAAGCCGAACGTAAGGAAAAGAAACGTTTATTTCAAGCTGAAGTAGAGATGAAAATGAAAAAGAGCAAGAAATAGAATTAATGAAGTTAAAATCGAGGGTGGGGATCGCCTTGATACCCCACATAGCACCGGTTTGAGGCCAAGATTGCCTAAATTTGAAGAGTCAAAAGATGACATAGATGCTTATAAAGAGCGTTTTGAAAAGATTCTCTATAAGTCAAGGATGGAAAGAAGATACATGGGCAATAAGCTTAAGTTCGTTATTAACGGGGAAAGGTCTTGAAGTTTACACTAGTATGCCTCCTGAGCAAGCATCAGACTATCAAGAATTAAAAACAGCAGTTTTGAAAAGATACCAATTAACAGAAGATGGTTTCAGAAATATATTTAGAGAGAGTAAGCCGAAACAAGGGGAGACTGTAAACCAATTTATGGCTCGCTTAGATAGGTACTTTAGCAGATGGACAGAAATGGCCGACGCTGCGGATACAGTAGATAAATTGAAAGATCTTATTATTAGAGAGCAATTTGTCAAAGTTTGTTCAACAGAGCTAGCTCTTTTTCTTAAGGAACGAAAGCCAAAGGATCGTAGAGATGTCATCTCTTTGGCTGAACAATACTTAGAGGCTCATGGCGGTACAATTACAAATAGTAAAAGCTCTAAAGTTGCCAATTTTTCAAATAAATCACCAATACGCCTTAATCAAGGTAATCTATCGAAACCAATACAGCACTATCATAGAAAAAACAGAAAAGTAACATGCTTCATATGTAATAGAGAGGGTCATGTGGCAAGAGATTGTCGAGATCAGACTAAAAAAAGATATGGGGCTGCTGCAATGTCATATGGGGAGCAAAATAGAAATTACTTTAAAACAAATCGGGATTCTTCACCAAGGAACTGGCGTAGTAGGCCTGGAGAAAATAGACGTGATGGGAGATCAGATGATAAGAAAGTATCGGGGTTATGTATGTCAATTTCTCCAACAAGTTCTTATGATGGTTGTATTGAAGAGGGGAAACTTAAATTAGCCAATGGTAATTTTGTGCCTGTCATTACAAGAAGCTGTACAATCGAATCATTAGAAGGTGAACGTCAATTGGATCTGAAACTAGGATATGTTGGGAATCAAGAGGTGAAAGTTCTGAGAGACACTGGTTGCGAGTTAGCAGTAGTTAGAAAGAAGTTAGTGGAAGAAGATCAAATGCTGAATAAAAATTGTGTCATGATAGCAATAGATGGTCGAGCCAGGATGGTACCCATGGCAAAAATAGACATTGATACGCCTTATTATAAGGGAAAAATAGAAGCTATGGTTTTAGAGTCAGCAATTTGTGACTTAGTCTTGGGCAATATTCAGGGTGTACTTGATAAGCCAAATGAGAAGTGGGTTAGCCGAGAAGTAACAAATATAGCTGCTGTTGCTTCTAGAGCACAGGCAGAAAAAGAGAAGAAAGCAATGAAACCTCTTAAAGTTCCAAAGGTCGAAGATAATGAAATTATTGGTAGATGTTCTTAAGAAAGAACAATGAAATGACAATACGTTACAGCGTTTGTGGCAATATGCTAGGGAAAATAAGATCATGAAAACAAAAAGTGGTAATAAATTTAGATATGAAAGTAGAAAAAGATGTGTTGTATAGAATATTTGAGACGGTGAAAGGTGATTTGAAGTCTGAAACAAGACAAATAGTTGTTCCTAGTAAATATCACAAAAGAGTTATGTCATTAGCTCATGAATCTATAGTGGGTGGGCATTTGTCTGTACGCAAGACTTTAGACAGGATACAGTCTAGTTTTCACTGGCCAGGTATTTCTAGTGATATAACTAGATTTTGTCGTTCCTGTGACATTTGTCAGAAGACGGTGCCCAGGGGTAGACTTCAGAAAGCTCCTTTAGGTGAAATGCCTATTATTGATACTCCGTTCCAGAGAATTGCGGTTGATTTGATAACGCCTGTATCGGAAAAGGGA